ATATGCAAATACAAATAACCCCGGGACAGAAATTTGGAACAAGTTCAGTTAGCGAGCACCTATGAAGGCCGGCACGGCACATGAGGGCGTAGGTGGCCAGCACCACGCCCGGCCGCCTTTGTCTCCCCATTGGCGATGTTTACTACACACCGCACCAGGTCCTCGTTTGAGGCTGAGTCGACCTAGGGGAGGTCTCGGAGCATTTCAGATAATCGTCACTCGTATTGGCCATGAGCAGGCGGGATGCGCTGATGCATATCGTATTCTAACCATGAGGCTTGGCCGCTACCAACTAGGGGGGTGGACAACTTCTAACTGGTATCCACCATGGGCAGTGTTCACCACGCGGAGCGTGACCCGCGGGCGGTGTCCACCGTGAAGAGAAAGCTGCGTGTGCAAGCCGCCCGTGCCACAGACACACTTGCTGTTGACGTTCACATTCTGGAGGCATTTCATATCACGTCCCCCCTCCTCCCACCCCGCTATGGTAACCCGTTCAATGACACATTTTTTCATGCAAAGCTAACCACGGTGAACTTTCTCTCGCATGTAAAATTTTAACCAATTATTTATTTTACCAGGTAAGGCCCCACTGAGCTATATAGCTATTTTTTTAGAAGCGACATGGGCACAAATGAGAGCTCAACGAAGTGGCTTATCACGTGGAAATGTAAAGCAACCAAATACTCTGAACGCGTGTTTTAAACGTGGAGGGGAAAAAAACCGCAGGACCCGGAGAAAAATGTACGCGACCACGTGGGGAACACGCAAACTCAAAATAAAGAGGCGTTAGGGTCGAGATGGGGATCGAACCCACGACCTCCTGTATACCAGGCGAGGTAGTTAACATCTCTCCACTTATTTACGGTTGAGAAATATCATGCTTTACGAACATTCTTGTTGGTATTTGGCACTCTGGGTGGTTTCCGGTAAGCCAATTTTGGGTCACTAGCTCCATAAGCAAACTAAGAACACGCGCAGGGGCCCACGTTGCTCAAGAGGCCCCCAATTCATGAAACTAAAAACAGACACGGGTGAACCAATATCAGCCCAAATATGAATCCTAATAAACATTAAAAAGCCAAATCTCCGTAAAAAGGTAAATTAATCTCTCTCATCATTATCTTGTCTGTAACACTATCGTGTTGCTACATTTCCTTTATCGCTTGAACTGATCTCTTCTGTCATTTCACTGGGAGTGTTTGCGAATAGAGAGATGACCGATGTGGCGAACCACTCTTTGCAGAGCACTTTGAAGTGAATTCGGTGCGGGTACGTCATCTAAACGGGAATCCAAAGTAAAAGGCCACGCGGGAGGGCATGTGGGGATAGTGTCACAATTGCGGGTGATTTTAGAATTTGACGCCGGCACACGCAATGGCCTACTCTCGCGAAAGACATCAGGGATGTATTTAACATCCGCTGTGGAGCAGCCGGCACGCGGTATCACTCCGGTGGATATCGCACCGCGGTATTAACCAGGGCGGCCGCTGCGTACGAACGGTGAGCGAGCGGCGAACGCGCTACCGGCTAGACCTCGTCGCCGGCGGTGCGCGTGTCCGTGTTTGTGCATCCGCGTGCACGCGAGCTCTTTGGGGAGATGAACGCAGATGTGAGGTCACCGGTAAGCGGGGTTGACGTAGCGACACCGGTGGGTTTTTCATTTCATCCTGGAATGTTGCATTGGTCAGACTCAGCAGTCTCGGCAAATCCGCCACCTCTACGCGAGTCCCAAGATCTGTGAGCGTCACCACTCGCACTGAGCCACAGCAGCCCAGTAAACGTGTCAACGTTGGGCCGACCTCATCACGTGTTTGGAGACCCGCTGGACCAACGTTGCGCTGACGTTGGCGCAACGTTCCATGTTTACTTGGGAGGCGACGTGTTGATCAAATGTCATTATCGCCGCATTCTCTTTCTTCCCAACCGTATGCGTTTTAATTAACTTTGCCCGTTACGTTTGTTTCTCTTACTCTGTTCAATTTCTCTGTCTCTACTATCCGCGGAGACAAGCTATCAGGGCAGGCACCAGCGAAAGAAACCCTTGTGGATTTCTGAGGGCTAAAGTAGGAATTATTGTGATCCCCCCCTCCGGCGACATAATGAAGGCTCATCGGTGAGGTTACCTCTCATTGGCAAAGTGCTCATGATTGACACTTTTAATTACGGGCAGGGCCTCAGCGATTTTTTTTTAGTTACGTGGACGGCGCTACAGCGACTCAAATGCGCGTCGAGAAAATTTCATTATGATCCGGCATTCAGCCGTGCGCGTGTATATCAAATTACAATATGAGACATCCAGAATGATACGGCAACGGCTTAATTGGGCTCGGCATCAAGTCCTTCTGAATGGCAGTGGCAGGAACGGAACACCTTAAACCCACCCCACCCCATTCCCTGCGCATGAAGTGAGTTGTGGCGTACGTGCCCGCCAGTAATGCCGTGTGTCCTGTGCTTTTTTGTGTCGGTCTCCATCAATGGTACTTTCACGGAGCGCAAGGAATTGATGCGTAACATGACCAAAACGACGGCCCTTTTACGCACGACATTTGCTACAGATGAATTTGCAGCGTTCTAAATTAACGCGCGGCTAAGTTCGCCAGATTACCGGAGCGAGGCTGGATTAGCGGGGATGCGCATTTCACTTGGGCAAATATCAACATTGCTTTGTCATTTTTTCGTTGCCAATTTTGCACGTGCGTGAGCGTACGCAGAACGATCCGTGTGTGTGAGAAGGCAAGGGCGCAGCCCTGCAATCGCTCGCTTGCTCCAATGCCGCCGACAGCGGAAGGCCCTCCACTCGAGGAAGCTTGCTGGGAGTCCTCTTTAGAGACATCTTGGATCGGAGACGGGAGCGCCCACACTCTACCCCACCACGCGTGACCTGACGATCAAACGTGGTGTAGACATCCGTAGTCCTGCTGGCGGGGTGGGGGTAGGTGGGTGGGGTGGAGGTGGGGGGTGGTGGGGTGGGCTTCGGGGGAGGGGCGAGGGGGGATTTAAGAAACGTGTTTCGTTGTTTCAACTGCTGTGCCTCGAGGTCAAGGTCAAATTAAACCGTCGGCCTCCGAGTTGCAAGCACAGTGTCTAAACCATCATACTACGGCAGCATCCCTGAATCATGGTTTTATATATGTATAAATTGGACAATGTTTTGAACCAACAGCTTACTCAACATTTTCAAAGCACCGCCGTTATAAGACGTATGTAATTCAGTCATCCGAGACCTGCAAGTCTGCATATTTCAGAAACGTTCCGTGCAAAAGCCGATACGAGACGCAGACCGCCGGCGTGCGAGGCTGTGTTCGGAAAGAAACGCTGTAGAGAAACACCCCCCCCACCTCATCCCCCCCCCCCACGGACTCCTTGAACCCTGGCGAACGGAGACGCGTGCCAAAAAAAAAGAACGTCTGAATATACGTAAATATTCACAAGAATAACAATAATACGAACGCATTCCATTCACATCCGTGAAAGGAGATTTTGAATGGCCTGTACAGAAATATTCCAATGCAGATCAGAAGTTCAACGAACCTACATTGGCACGGCAGTTGCAACAATGGTGCAAGTTTAATGAATTCCCAGCCGCCTCTGTCTGCCCAGCGGTGTACATTGCTTCTGTACAATTAGTCCCAGGTTTGGTTTACGCGGTGTTTTTACTGGGCAATAAACGCTCCTTTTTAATGGGGACCTGGTTTCTCAAAAGAAACCCGGTGACGGCAAAAGAAAAGTGAGCAAAATCGAGCACACGAAATACAACAATGCTGGCCAAAACGCATAACATACAATAAGTACTGGGTGAAAAAGAGCAGCGAGGTTGTTAAGAGTGTAAACAAAAACATTCGTAATTTAAAGTGTGCAAAGTAGAGCAACCGATTGCACGTATCTGGGAAAGGACATTTTAGGTCCAAAAGTTATTTTAAAGATGGACAAGGATACTAATAGGGGTTTTCCCCTTTTTTCTGGCAACAAAAACTGACACCTTTTGCAAGGAATCATGCTTACATTAACCACAATACTTGCAGTCAAATGCAAACATCTGGTCGAATACCATATGAGACTAGGCTCTAAAGAAAGCTGTCTCTGGTGTGGACCAATCAGTTTCAAAGACAATGCATAAATTATCAGAGTATTGTTTTTTGTTTGCATTTGACTGCAAGTATTGTGGTTAATGTAAGCATGATTCCTTGCAAAAGGTGTCAGTTTTTGTTGCCAGAAAAAAGGGGAAAACCCCTATTAGTATATTTTGATACTGGCAAAGGAGGTCCCATGATAGACAAGGATGCTAAGGTACTGCCGCCTCTTCCAAGACGTCTGTCCATGCAAAGCTCCCCCGAGTGGAGGCACATTCCGCCAGCAATGACTATGTCACAATTTTTCATTTTACCAGGTAAGGTCCACTGAGCTATGTAGCTGTTAGTCAGAAGCGACCTGGCCACAAATGATAGCTTAACGAAGTGGCTTATGATCATCACGTGGAAATGTATAGCTACCAAATATCCATAATAGAGATTTTTTGGGTTAGATCCGCTAAATATGTAAATGTGTCGTTGAAAAAAAGTCTGGCTGTCGCCTGATGAAGCTAGTTGTAATTACTGGTGAAACGTCGTACTCAGATTGTAAATATTGTGGCTTGGCTTTCCAACACACAACCGGTTAGTGCTGTACTAGTGACGAATTGGCCACGTTCTGTTTACGTGACAACCCTGACTAGTTTGCTGTGTCGGGTGGTGGCGGGTTTTAACGACACATTTATATATTTACGCGATCTAACCCCAAAAAAAGCATCTATTATGGATGATATTGGTCGCGAAACCCTACTTGTTAAACCAGCTACAAAATACTCTGAGGACACGTTTCTAAATGTGGAGGGGAAAACCGGAGGACCAGCAGAAAAACTCCAAATGTACAGCAGCAGGCGTCAGGGTCGGGATAGAACCCACGACCTCCTGCACACCAGGCGAGGTAGTTAACAGGTATAAGGAAGAATTTGCGGGGCTGAACTTTTTACCTTTTTTAGAACTCCTTCGCGCATGCGGTTGGTGGAGGTGTTGGGGGTGGGGGGGGAATCCGCTGTCGAGTTCACGGAGAATTTCGTGCCCATCTTGCGGTGATGGAGCGCTGTCCGCGGTGCTGAAATCAACGCCGGGGGAGGGGGGGGGGTCGAGACATCAGGTGACGTTTGTGCGTGTGTGTTTGTGTGCGCGTGTGTTTGTGTGTGCGTGTGTGCGCGTGTGTGTTTGTGTGTTTGTGTGCGCGTGTGTGTATGTGTGTGCGTGTGTTTGTGTGTTTGTGTGTGCGCGTGTGTGTTTGTGTGTGCGTGTGTGTTTGTGTGCGCGTGTGTTTGTGTGTGCGCGTGTGTGTTTGTGTGCGCGTGTGTGTTTGTGTGTGCGTGCGCGTGTGTGTGTGCGCATGTGTGTGTGCTTGTGTGTGCGTGTGTGCGCGTGTTTTTGTGTGTGCGCATGTGTGTGTGCTTGTGTGTGCGTGTGTGCACGTGTGTTTGTGTGTCCGCGTGCGCGTGTTTGTGCGTGCGCGTGTGTGTTTTTTTGTTGCGGCCGGAGTTTTTTTTTATTTTTCAAAACGAAGCGGCCGCCGTGCTTGATGGGAGGTAAATCTGAGGTGAGATGGCGGCGTGGAGGCCACGAGCTGCACAACGGCCCGGGCGAGCACGGCGGGGGGGGCGGGGGGAGGGGGGGGGCGATGCATCAGAGAGAGGCTTCCAGGAGGGCCTGAGAGCTGTTAACGTGACATCAGAATGGTATACCGCGCCACGGCCAAGCCAAACGGGGAGAATTTACGATACGTCCGCGTGGCCTACGTGAGTGTTTGCGCGAGGGCATTTATATATCTGTGTGTGCGCGCGTGTGTGTGCGAGTTTGTTGTGTGGGGGGCGGTGGCAGACCGGTTAGCGCACCGTACTGGCGAAATATCGGAATCGGTATCAGGACCTCACCATGGTCGACTGGCCCTCAAATGAGTACCTGGTGCGGTGTGTAACCATCGCCACTCGAGCGACAAAGGCGGCCGGGCGTAGTGCTGGCCACCCACCCCCTCTAGTGCCGTGCCGGCCTTCATAGGTGCTCGCTAACAGCACTTGCCCCGACAGTCTGTTACGGGGGATCTTTGTCTTGTGAGAGTGCATTTAGCATCAAAGCCAGTTGGCTCAGCAATCGAGCAACCGGGCTGCTAATCGGAATATTGAAGATTCAAATCCGCTTTGGGCGTTCACTCAACTAATATTGCGGGGAAGTTATACTCTCCTACATCATGTGTACTTGCAATTTACACCACTGGCTCGCGGGGCAGTAAACGGGAGATGAGCACACACGAGATCAATGCTCATTTGAGCAGGAGACCACTTTTATTTTTTTGCTACCTTAAACACCTTTTTTTTTTCTTCCATGAATGCGATATATTGTAAACAGTTTGAGTTCGCACCGAGATCGAAGCGGCCCGTGAAATGAAACGTCGGCGGCGTCACTTTAGGCGCACGCGTCTCCGTGACGTCTCCAACAGCTGACTGCCTTTCGCTGTCGTCCTACTCTGCGCGCACTTTGCAAAGGGATTCCTTTTGTCTTCATCCCGAGAAGACGAAGCGCATCGAGACGTTCCCCCTAGGAACAACCAGAAAAAAATACATCCTCCGCCACCAAACCTCGCGGTTTGCCGAGATGGTGACACAGTGTATTGTCGCGAGCGACGCCGTCGAAGGTAACGGGCTGATGTGAGTCAATGGCCTCAAGGGAAAGTTCACGTGTGTATCCATAACAGAGGTCGCAATCGGGTACCCGATACCCGTACCCTACCCGTACCCTACCCGATTCCCGTACCCTACCCGAAACCCGGCCGGGTACGGGTAGCCAGGTATCGGGTAGGGTACGGGTACCCGTTTGCGACTCTGGTGCGGCCGGGTACGGGTACGGGTAAGGAATCAAAACCCGTTTGCGACCTCTGATCCACAAGCCGGCAAACGCGTTCGCCGATCCGACGTACGGGTCTGGTGACCTCTCTCATCATCATCATAGTCCTTTGTGTCTCGAGAGACAATTCTTTTGCGCCGTACGAGGTCAGCTGTAGGTTTTGCAGCGCCTAGAATGACTTAGTAGGCCAATCCGTGAGTGGCAATCCTTGCCACAGCAATTGCAGGTGAATGCGGTGGCAGCTCCAGAGGTGTGTGTCGCTTGTTCTTTACGTCGCTCCCTCTTGGTCTACCAAGCGGTGCGTCTTTTCTCCTCGCCTCTCCTGAGGCCTGTTTTCACAGCCTGCTACAAGCTGAGTCGGTCGCCGGCAGTTTTTCCCAGTCATTTGGGTTGATGTCGCAGCTCTTCATGTCCCGTTTACAGACATCTTTGAAGCGCAGGACCGGGCGACCAGTGGCCCGTGTGCCTGATGCCAGCTCCCCGTACGAGACATCCTCGGGTGTTCTGCCATCCTGCATGCGGAGCACGTGACCAAGCCATCTCAGGCGCCTATGACTGAGTAGAGAGTACATGCTGGGAATATTGGCCAATTAAATTTCGATTTAAAGCTTTCGTGACTGCAGGGATTCATCTTCTTGGTTCTTTCGGTAAAGTCACGTAGAAGGGAAATAAGAAGACAGACGCTGTCTTCTCGACAGACCTGTTCTTTACCTGAGGACGGCTGCTTGCGTTGTGGCCGAAACGTCGTGAGAATTATTTAATTATGTTTTATTTTTATTATTTTATTATTTCCCTTCTACGTGACTTTACCGAAAGAACCAAGAAGAATATTGGCCAAGTTCTCTAGCCTCTATCTAATTACCACACCACAACAACAACAACAATACAAATAAACAATGTAAGCAATGTGCCAGCGGCTCTTCGAGGACATGGGTCAATAATAATTAATAAGCAGTACATTTGATTCTTTGTTTTTTTTCGGTAAAGTCACGTAGAAATAAAAAAATAAATTAAATAATAGCATACGACGTTTCGATTGCAACACAAGCAATCATCATCAGGTACGAATGAAAGAGAAAACAAACCTAGTAAACTTAGAAATATAATGCAATACAACGCAGAGAGTCGGCTAGCATAACAGTCAACACCCTACCTGGTTAATTACGTTCTTCCAAAGATGTCTACATTTGAGAGAGAGACAAAACACAGACACGGAGACACTACAGACAGACACACAAGCAGAGAGAGAGATAACACAGAGACACACACAGAAAGAGACACGCACATAGGCACACAGAGAAACAACGCCTCTGTGTCGAGGCCTTAAATAGAGAGAGAGAGGGGCAGAAAGAGAGGGGGGGGGGGGTAGAGAAATTAGCAGGTCATTGATAGATTTGGAGCTTTCGTGAATGTAGGAAATAACAGAGCAACAACACATTTTTATATATTCTCTTTCTACGTGACTTTACCGAAAGAACCAAAGAATAGATATTGGCGACATTATTATTTGTAGCGCAGGCATATCACGAGCGTGCTACGTGTCATAGGCGTAGTAACGTTGCTATGTGGAATGGCAATTGAGTAATTTACGGGTACTTTAAAAAAAAAATCTGCCACGTTTGGAATGGGATGCTATTATTTCCGATCAAACGCCTGCTAAGGAGGCCCCCGTGTATCGTAGGCATTTGAAGGACACAAGGCTAAAATGGCCTCTGAAGTCAGTTATCAGAGCCTTGTTTGTGGTGAGAACCAAAAAAAAAGATACCAGCCCACCTGGATAACATTTATGTTGAAAAAAATAATAACTTAAAACCAATTTTTAAAAATTTTAAATTATCATCTTATTCTGCAGAGGACATAACACTCGAAACGGACGACGTGAACATGCGTACACACACACACACACGGGGACAAAGAGCCCCTGTGTAGCCTACGCAGACTGGGCTCGTGTTGTTTGCGAGCACTTTTGAAGGTCGGAAAGGCACATGATAGGGTGGTGTGGCCAGAACCACGCCCAACCGCCTTTGTCTCCGCAGTGCCGTTTATTACTCACTGCACCGTGTACTCATTTAGGGCTGAGCTGACGTAGGAGAGGTTCGGATATTAATCACTGTTGGCCATGACCCGTATTCAAACGTGGATTGGCTCAGCTCAGAGCGCTGCGCGCTAACCACTGCACTGCTCTCACAAAGACAAAGATCCCCCATACTGTATACCCCGTAACAAACTGTTGACGCAAGTGCTGTTAGCGAGCACATATGAAGTCCGGCACAGCACACGAGGGGATGGGTGGCCAACACAACGCTCCGTCGTGGCGATGTTTACACACCGCACCAGGTACTCATTTGAGGCCGAGTCGACCTAGGGGAGGCCCAGGACCGGTTCAGATAATCGTCACTGGTGTTGGCCGTGAGCGGGAATCGAACTCGGGTGGTAGCCCGGCGCGCTAAGCACTACACTACTGCTCCCCATCGTTTGTGCGCGTGTGTGCGCGTGAGTGTTCGTGAGAGCGCTGCACACAAATCAAGGCACACGCATTTAAAATCCAGTCTCGTGCTTAGTTGACTGAAGTTCAGTGAGACGAACCTGTGGTTAATAAGAACTGTTGACCGTACCCATGACAATTGGCCTCTTCAAATGGCCTCAGAGTCTCTTTGGAGATGAACACGGGGATCATAGATTTTTTAAAAAAATACGGCCTCCTCCTGTAGACACGTGCCTACTTTTTTTTTATTAAAGCGTGTTAACAAAAGGTCCACGTGCTCACCACACAGAATTGCAGTGGTCTTGTGCCTGTGCGTGTGTGATGTTTCGGGCAGTGGTGCAGTGGCTAGCGAGCGCACTGTGCTACGAGTCTGGTTCTCCACTCACGGGCCAACCTCGTGTAACGAATATCTATCTGAACCAGTCTCGGGCCTCCACTAGGTCGACTCAGCCTTGAACGAGTAGCTGGTGCAGTGGTGTGTGTAAAAGTCAGCATTTGGGGAGACAAAGACGGGTCGGCGTGGTTGCGAGCCACATCTCCCACCTCCCCCCAACCCCCTAGCCTTCATCGCTGCTCATGAACAACACTTGTCCCAACAGTCTGTTCGAGGTTATATGGGGGTAGGGGTGGTCTTTGTCTGTGGATGTGGTTGTATGTGTCTGTGTGTTGAGAACACATTTTGATGCTTGCTACCAACATTCAAAGAGGTGTTACAAAAATGTTCCAAAGAAAAACTGTTTACATTTTTGGAGGCTTTCGCGACCAATATCATGCACAATATAGGTTGTCGGGGTTAGATGGTGCAGTGGTTAGCGAAATGCATTGTTAGGTCCCCCAAAAAATAACCATTTTGCGGCCACAGTTAACATATTTGGCGAGTAATGCCCGTGCCAGACATGGAGTTTCCTAGATTTGAAGCTTTCGTGACTGCAAGGATTCATACTCTTAGTTTTTTTCGGTAAAGTCACGTAGGTAAAAAATTAAAATTAATAAAAGTAAAATAAAATAAAAATCACGACGTTTCGGAGGCAACACAAGCTTCCATCTTCAGGTGGAACCGTCACAGCACGATTGCTGCATGACCAGAGTGGTGAAGTATGACCCAGATGGTATTGGGCAATGTCTTCATCCTGCAGTGGATTAACAACCGGCTGTAAGTTACTATTTGGGAGTTACATGAAAGCATATGCAAATAGATGTATTGAAAGCGCTTCTGTATTCAATCACGTGTACTGTACTTTTTTATTATTATTAGGGTGGGCCTCAGAAATGGCTTTGAAGTACAGAAGTTGGAAAGCCATGAACACATGCTAAAGTGAACACACGATGATTACTACACAGCAACGTATTAAGCAAAGCAGCACACACACACACGCACGGTGTCCCAGCGTCTGAATGGTGCATTATGACAAGAAGTCCTTGTTCGCAGGGTTAGTTGTAATGGAATAAGAAATTGTCAATTCACGAAAAAAAAGTGACCTTTTTTCGTGACAGGCTGCTTCTTTGTTCAGGGCTGGCTCTCAAGTGAGAAAACGTAACGTAGGGCTGCATCTCTGCCATCATTTTCACTTTCAGGGCTTCGGTGATGTTGTCCACGCGCCGTATTTTCTGCGGAGCGAATGCCGACGTTGTAAACGCAGCGCGCGTATTGCTACGCGTGCAACGAAGTTGGAAATGACGAAAAATGGAGGACAGTCACGCTGCCAAAATGTCCAGCGGCTAAATCTCGATCGAAAACTCGTTTCTTTAGAACTGCGTTCAGTTTGTTGTCCTTACCCCATCCGTCCCGCACCTCCGCTTAGCACGGCTGGCTCCGGTCACGTTGTGTGTAAGAAGCTCAGCAAACACGCCGTTGTCAAGGTCTGCTCTCCACGAGAAAGCTTCGGGAGGGAGAGTTACTTTGTGTGGCATTGTTTTTCGTCTTCTTCTTCCTTCAATGAATGTTGGAATCCAGTGGTTGACTGCGTGGTCCATAGTTTGCGTTGCACGACTACGTGAATAACCAAAATACTTTATGAAAAAAAGAAGGGCGAGTCAGATGACCACGTGACGACGCACTTTCGGCAAAAGTTATTCGCAGCCATGTTAGTGATGACGAATGCTCGTGTTGCAATTGAAACGTCGTAGCTTTTTTGCTATTTTCTTTGAACCTATCTACGTGACTTTACCGAAAGATCCAAAGAATATGAATTCCAGAGGTCTGTCCGTAAGTCGATTTGTTCGTAAGTCCAACTTTACTCCTGTCGATTCCAAACATGTTGTACGGCATGTGCACGAAACACGGGGAATGGTTTAAAAGGTTGTATAATCTCGTGTAGATGTAGATGCCACTGGTTCTTCACGTTCTGCAGATGCCACCACCGCCATCTATTGCGTGGGGCGGTTTGAAATTACGACTCTCGATCCGAACAGGCAACTGGACATACGGACAGGTTTCTTTGTAACTCTGAAAGTTTGTAAGTCAAATGTTCGTAAGTAGAAGAGTCCCTGTACATATAGTCAGCTGAGACCTGACTGCATCTGCATCATCTGTGCGTTCATTATCACTGTCATTCGTAAAATATTGGGTGCAGTTGTGGAACTAACCGCCGTTTTAGAACAGGCTCTCGCGATAGTGTTGACAATTTAAATTTTTTCACAAAAAATCCACAGTGATAAAACAGATGTTTTTCTTTTTACATTTGCTGTGTTCCTCTCAACCTCTTGTTTTTTACCAACCCATTATCTCTTTATTAGCTTTGTTCTTTTCATGCGCGAAGCCTTTAGGGATCGTGAAAGGCACCTAATAAGTGTCAATTAGTTATAATTATTGATGACACATTATGACATCCTAGGATGTGGTTGGCAGCCGCCATTCTAAAAAGGGCCCGAGTAATTGCACTACAAAAACCCATTGATTAATATACTTTTTATTTGATTGATAAACTAATTGTCCCATGCCCTGAACCAATGAGGCATCCACCGGCAGGACAACGAGGGTTCTTCAGGAGGCTGTGCAGCAAGTAGGTTTAGAATGGGCTATGAGCG